ACCTCCTGGGTTCAAGTGATCCTCCCACCTCAGCCTCCTGAGTAGCTGGGATTCCAGGCATGCGCCACTACACCCAGCTAACTTTTTTGATTTTCTCTTAGAGCTACCCCCAGGGCACCATACAGCAGGGCCATACACAGGGCTTGCTGCCTTGGGGACTGAAGAGGAATGTGGTTGGAGGATTTAGGAATTACTGCAGGAGGTGGAGGCTACCTGAGATCAAAGCACAAATAAACTCAGCATTTAAAACCTGATACTAGTCTCTGGAAATTCCATCCTGCTTGCTTCTCTGATCATTGCTAGTGATGGTAGACCACCCCCCGCAACAGGCCACACTCGTTCAGGAGGCAGGAACTCCTTGTGGGCGGGGCTGGGTCCTATTATTTCTATATCCTAACATCGAATCTCAGCCTGACCCCTCCCTCACAGCGTTGCGTGTGTTGTTGCTGTTCCCCCTCAAGCATAAGCCTTGGTTGCTCAAGGCTGCCCGCCCTTCATGCCCACGTGAATGGGGCTTTACTTGTAGATAAATGTGAGGCAAAGAGACAACAAACTCGCCAGGCTGGGTTGCCCATAGTGCATGTGGTACCTGGCTCAGAGCATTGCTGAAAATTCAATTCCAAAAATGAAAAATTAGAAAGCTGCTTTCTTGTGACTGATTCTCAAGCAGACCCACACATTCATAAATCAGTGGCTACACAGTTCACCTTGTTTTTCAGTGAGATTCTTGTTTTCAGTTAAGGACATCGTCTAAGAGGTAAGTAGCACTTGCATGCTGCTCCCCCACCATCTCCACCACGGGACAAAATCCAGTGATTTTAATTTTGAACATAAGAAGTATTCCGGGCACAGTTGCTCATGCCTGTAATCCCAGCACTTTGGGAGGCACAGGCTGGTGGATCACCTGAGGTCAAGGAGTTCGAGACCAGTCTGACCAACATGGTGAAACCCTGTCTCTACTAAAAGTACAAAAATTAGCCAGGTGTGGTGGCAGGTGCCCATAATCCCAGCTACTCAGGAGGCTGAGGCAGGAGAACCCCTTGAACCCAAGAGATGGAGGTTGCAGTGAGCTGAGATTGCACCATTGTACTCCAGCTTGGGCGACGGAGTGAGACTCCATCTCAAAAAACAAAAAACAACTAGTCTGTAAACGTTACTTTTCTCCACTTAACCCTTATGATCAACAAGCCTGTTTCCTCTGCCCTGTGAACACCTTTGGGCAGGCAGGCACCACATGCTTCAGGCTTTAAGAAGTGTCACCAGGTCCTCAAATTCATTCAAATGATCTCAAATTGCCCAATCCTAATCTAGCTCCAAAGAGCTATTTTGCATTTACTTCTGACATATGGCAGCTTCCTCATGACTCAGCCCCAATGTTCATCAGAATTTCCCTTTGTAGTTCTCCCGTGCTCAGCAGCGGCAATCGAACCTCAGCTGTCTGCTGTCCCCAGCTAATGGCCGCTGCCTTCTAGTCCTTTCTGAAGCTTCGGCTACACCCAAGAATCACAGCCTCCTGAGTGTCCAGGCAGCTCTGTTTTTTTTCATCTCTGCATTTCTGGGTACGTGTGATTTGTTCTAGGAACTCCCAAGGAAGGTCCAGGCTCAGCCAACCTCCCAACGGAGCTCCAGCCACCTTCCTGTCCTGAGGGAAGTAGAGAGTAGCTAAGCCCTGGGGCCGGGAAGAGGACAGCAGCTTCCTGGGCTACAAGTGGTGGGTCCAAGAGCTGGGAGCTGTGTGGCACCAGCCTCAGTGCCTCTAACTGGCTGAGGGCTTTCCTCCTGGGGAACTGGTCCTGCCAGCCAATGTCAGTGGACTCTGTTTTGCTTCAAAGTTCATCCAAGCTGGAAGGGCCCTTGATGTTTAGGATAAAAGCCTATATTTTCATGGCTATGCTGGCACTGACAATTTGGCAGAGGCACCAGAGTTGCTTCACACATGTAGCATGTGAAGGTATTATGTGGTGAAGGTATTGTATGTGTGTGTGAAGGTACTGTGTGATGAAGGTATTGTGTGTGTGTGTGTGTGTGTGTGTGTGAAGGTATTGTGCATGTGGTGAAGGTATTGTGTATGTGTGAAGGTATTGTGCGTGTGGTGAAGGTATTGTATGTGTGTGAAGGTATTGTGCGTGTGTGGTGAAGGTATTGTGCGTGTGTGTGAAGGTATTGTGCGTGTGTGTGTGTGTGTGAAGGTACTGTGCGTGTGGTGAGGTACTGTGTGTGTGGTGAAGGTGTGTGTGTGTGTGTGAAGGTGTGCATGTGTGTGAAGGTGTGCGTGTGAAGGTATGCGTGTGTGACGAGGGTAGTGTGTGTGCGTGTGAAGGTACTGTGCATGTGGTGAAGGTACTGTGTGTGTGTGTGAAGGTACTGTGTGTGTGAAGGTATTGTGTGTGTGGTGAATGTATTGTGCATGTGGTGAAGGTATTGTGTGTGTGGTGAAGGTATTGTGCATGTGGTGAAGGTATTGTGTGGTGTGAAGGTATTGTGCGTGTGGTGAAGGTATTGTGCGTGTGGTGAAGGTATTGTGTGGTGTGAAGGTATTGTGTGTGTGGTGAAGGTATTGTGCGTGTGGTGAAGGTATTGTGTGGTGAAGGTATTGTGTGTGTGGTGAAGGTATTGTGCGTGTGGTGAAGGTATTGTGTGGTGTGAAGGTATTGTGTGTGTGGTGAAGGTATTGTGTGTGTGGTGAAGGTATTGTGTATGTGTGAAGGTATTGTGCGTGTGGTGAAGGTATTGTGTGGTGTGAAGGTATTGTGCGTGTGGTGTGAAGGTATTGTGCATGTGGTGAAGGTATTGTGCGTGTGGTGAAGGTATTGTGCGGTGTGAAGGTATTGTGCGTGTGGTGAAGGTATTGTGCATGTGGTGAAGGTATTGTGCATGTGGTGAAGGTTTTGTGTGGTGAAGGTATTGTGTGGTGTGAAGGTATTGTGCATGTGGTGAAGGTATTGTGTGGTGTGAAGGTATTGTGCATGTGGTGAAGGTATTGTGTGGTGTGAAGGTATTGTGCATGTGGTGAAGGTATTGTGCATGTGGTGAAGGTTTTGTGTGGTGAAGGTATTGTGTGGTGTGAAGGTATTGTGCGTGTGGTGAAGGTATTGTGTGGTGTGAAGGTATTGTGCGTGGTGAAGGTATTGTGTGTGTGTGTGTGAAGGTATTGTGCATATGGTGAAGGTATTTGTGTGTGTGAAGGTATTGTGCGTGTGGTGAAGGTTGTGTGTGGTGAAGGTATTGTGCGTGTGTGTGAAGGTATTGTGTGTGTGTGTGAAGGTATTGTGCATATGGTGAAGGTATTTGTGTGTGTGAAGGTATTGTGTGTGTGTGTGAAGGTATTGTGTGTGTGTGAAGGTATTGTGCGTGTGTGTGAAGGTATTGTGCATGTGGTGAAGGTATTGTGCGTGTGTGAAGGTATTGTGCATGTGGTGAAGGTATTGTGTGGTGAAGGTATTGTGTGTGTGGTGAAGGTATTGTGTGTGTGTGTGTGAAGGTATTGTGTGTGTGTGAAGGAATTGTGTGATATTTTGATGATCAAGGCATTGACTGAAGCATTAATATTAGTTTAGGGGCTCTCTTCCTCCTTTCTCTTTCTTCTTCTCTCTTTCTTCTTCCCTGCATCCCTCCCCATTTCCTCTCTGCCTCACTCTTCTTTTTTCCTCCAAACTCAAATAAGGAAATAACCCAGTCTTCAGGCTGATCATATGCTTGAGTGATCAGACATCTCAGATGAATGTCGCTGACATAACGTAAATCAGCTTCTCAGCTCTGTGCTAAAGCCCAGCTTTTAGACATTTTCCAACTGCCTGTGGACTGATACTTCTGTGAAACACAACGACTAGCCGCTACAAAAATAAGATGTAAAATGCAAGCATAAATTTTTGGATTTAAACAAAATTCCTCTGTCAGATTGATATAAAAATTTCTAAACACTCTCAATTTTTGTTTTCATCCAATTGTGAATCTTGCCTGCTCACAGACCATATTTTGAGTAGCATGGATACAGACTGTTACCTTACATGGAGATGTTTCATATTTATATTTCAGCCCATTTTCTTTGGGAGAACACAGCATTTCTGGCCTCTTCTCTGCTCATCTTAGTTTGTCTAAACACATATCTCTCCTGATCTCTCCATGAGCACAGCGCTTCAGCTTGGGGGAACGTTTCCTCCAGTACACACTAGCTTACAACCCTTCAGCTAACGGGCATCAATTTTACTCTTTCTCTATAGAAAGACTTTGAACTTGCATTCTCTTCCCTAGGTCCAATTTACCACTCATATATGTGCCCTTACCTGCCCACTTGTTCACTTGTCCCCTGAGGTACCTGGTTGGGCTAAGTGCATATATAAAAAGTATATATGTTATATATATATTACATATAACTACACATATATATTATATGATATGATTTAACAGTATAACATATATATGTAGTTATTTATCCCACCCAAATCTCATCTTGAATTAAAACTCCCATAATCCCCATCTGTCATGGGAGGGACCTGGTGGGAGGTAATTGAGTAATGGGGGCAGGTTTTTCCTGTTCTGTTCTCATGATAGTAAGTCTCAGAGATCTGATGGTTTATTAATACAAAGGGCAGTTCCCCTGCACACGCTCTCTTGCCTGCTGCCATGTAAGATGTGCCTTTGCTCCTCCTTTACCTTTCATCAGGATTGTGAGTCCTCCCCAGCCATACAGAACTGAGTCTACTAAACCTCTTTTTCTTTATAAATTACCCAATCTTGGGTATGTCTTTATCAGCAGTGTGAGAACAGACTAATAAAATACATAATTATGTACACTTATATATAGGCGCTTGGAAACTTTACACATTAAACATAATGTGGCACACATTGTATATAAAATTATATATCATAGAATTACATAAACATATTTATCTATACAATTATATAATCACCTCTGTATAATATATAAATGCCCAAACTGGTTATATGTACTATATATAAAAATATGTAATTAGGAAGATGTGTAGACTTGCCTTACTCACCAGTGTCATTGGGGTATTTGTCTCCCCTGGTACACGTCTTCCCATCATCTTCCTGGATGTAGCCTTCCCGGCACTCACAGCGGTAGCTGCCCAAGGTATTGATGCAGATGTGGGCACACAGCGTCCCATTGCTGTTGGCACACTCATCAATATCTGGTTTGAACCAAATGTAGAGAATACTCAGACAATTTCTGAGGATTCACTTCTAATACAACAGATAACATGGGGCTTGGCTTCTCTCTAAATGACAACAAGGGACACTTGGGTGGACCTTGATCAGAGAAATATGGAATAAAGTAGGGAGCTATAAACATGGGTCATCCACAAAAAGAGCATTTTTGGCCAAGTGACCATGGTTACAGGCTGAGCAGTGAGGGGGTTCCTGGCTGTGGCTTTGCCACTCCCACGTCCTATGGCTTAGACTGCCAGCCTTCAGATCTCATTTACAGAACAATGACAATGAAGCCTAAACACTTCATAGGACGACTTAAAGACATGAAAATGAGATCACCAATGGCCGCACTCACTTAAAGAAGCAAACATAGAGACAATTTTTTGCAAGCACCCTACTGTGCTGAGGATTTTTAAGTTTCTCTTTATGGTGTAGGTTCCACACAGCATGATGGTGACCCACAGGTCACTTAGGAATGGCTCCTTCCCAGTTCAAAGCCATGATGACACCTGAGAAAAGCTACTTCTAATAAAAGAAAATAGTCATCATGGGTTTAATGGTAAGAGTCTTCCCCAGGAAACTTCTGCCCCAGACAGAGCCCTCGTGAGCTGTGGAAATGAGCCATGGGACCATCAGGCAAGTCCCCATGAAGAGCCCATGCTAACTGTGCACATCATGGACTTGCTCCCTGCTGCATGGGTGGAAACAAAAACATTTCCCACTGTGAGAAGAGTGACAGGCCCAATTCTATTTCCTGTTCACTGGTTGAAGACAGTGGGGAGCAGTGGGTGGGAGCCTTGGCATGCAGCCCCAGACTGTGCACATGTGCCAGGCAGACACAGGCTGGCCCTGAACTTGAGGATGGCAACCACTTCCCAGCCACTCCCTGCACAGGCTTCCAGGGACCCGGGCCCTGTGTGTGCTGAGGGAGGGTGGCCATCTGGACGCTGCGCTGGCAGTACCGACTATGTCATCTGTAGACCTGATGTTGCAGCTGCATCCTCCTCTGCAATTCCTGAGGCTCACTGCCTTTCCTCAGGTGTCCCTGCCATAAACCTACATGTGATGCTGCCTGTACTGCCCAGAGAGAAAGAGGAGATGAGGTTGAAAGCAAAGATTGAAATAGAACTCTTAGTAGAAAGCAAGTTCTGCTAGTGCCCAAACCCCCAAACAAAAAGAACAGGGGGCTGGGTGTGGTGGCACATACCTGTAATCCCAGTGCTTTGTGGGGCCAAGACAGGAGGATCCCTTGAGCCCAGGAGTTTGAGTCCAGCCTGGGCAACATAGTAAAATCCCATCTCTAAGAACAACGAACAAAATCAGCTGGCTGTAGTGGTGCGTGCCTGCAGCCCCAGCTACTCAGGAGGCTCAGGTGGGAGGATTGTAGGAGCATGGCAGGTCGAGGCTGCAGTGAGCCATGATCACGCCACTGCTCTCCAGTCTGGGCAACAGAGTGAGACCCTGTCTCAAAAATAAAGAAAGAATAGGTAGAATAGCTGCTATAAACTGAAGTAAGAGCCTTGTGCCTGGGACCTGAGCCTTCGGAATGGCCTGTGCCTCTCCCTGCAGGAGAGGCCAGAGATCCCTGCTCCATTCATTTGGGGATCATGATCCCATTCTCTGGGATTGTGGGGCACCATTCCCAAATGCTGATAGGGAGAAACCAGAGGATCTACGATTAAAACTTCTCATAAATGGTGCTCCCTAGAGCCCCTGCTAGGGTAGAGAAAGAGGGGTCTCATGACAGCTGGTTTATCTTCCACTAGGGTCTACCTACCAGTCTCTGCAGTTCATCCTTCATCCGATTCCTAAATCTCACCATGCCTATGAATCATTAGAGGCGTTTGTGTAGATATTCATGTCTGGACCCACTCTCAAGGGTTATGATTCACTAGGTGTGGAGAAAAGTGTTTATTTTCCCTCTAAACAAGGACCCCAAATGTTTCTCAGGTTAGCCATGAACTGACCACATTTTGAGATACATGGTTTCAGAGGGAAATGAGCCGTACATCTGCCTTAGAAGCTCAAAGAATGCACAGCTGGGACAGCCAGTTTGTAAGGGTGACAGCAAACAGGCTGGTGCCACGGATGGTGCAGGCTCGGCTCAGCTGCAGCCCAGGTGGCTGGCACCAGCTCCTGCCAACTCCCTCCCAACCTGTCTGCCATATGGCTACTTCCTTTTCCCCCCATCATCTTCTAAGAGAATGTTCATTCTTGTTCTGTCTGTGTTTTTAGGTTTCTGACCAGTTATTTTCTGTTTTACATTATTCTGGTTTATATTTGGGCATGTTCCCCTCGGCTCTTACATCTCACTGCCAATTAGGATCTCACGGGTGCCAGATCCCGCAAGAATTTCTTGGGCCTAGTTGGTTTTAGTAATTGTGGCGAAAGGCAGTGAGCCATCCCCAGGATAATGTCAAACACAACTCCATCCAACAAGTACAAGAACTTAAGGGTCCAACCGAGGACAGAATATCTGAACAAGGCACATCCTTGGAAGCTGGAAACAAAGCACATTCCCAACACACCCAGGCAGTACGGCTTCTCCCGCTTCCGGTGTCTCTCTCGGTCATATCGGTATCCCGGATAACAGGTACACAGCACGCGGCCAAAGTTGTCTGTGCACTGCTGTTCACAGGGAGCCTCGGCACAGACGTCGTAATCTGAAAAAGAAAAGTGAGAGCTCACATCAACCACCGGAGGAGGCAGGGTAACCTGGCTCTGGCCTGGAAAAGACTTTCTGGGCTGCGCTCTGCTCACGGGAATGTGTGAAGCATGGACAGGTACACTTAGAGGGACAGGAACTCTTTTGGACTGTGGGGCACCTTCTAAGAGTACTGCAATGTGCAACTTTTCAAAAAAATATAAATCTTTTAATAAAAGTATTTTTCAAAAAAGTCTATTTAGGAAGAAGAACGGCATATTGTACATTTAAAAAAATGTATTATACTTTAAGTTCTGGGGTACGTGTGCAGAACGTGCCGGTTTCTTACATTGGTATACATGTGCCATGATGGTGGTTTGCTGCATCCATCACCCTGTCATCTACATTAGGTACTTCTCCTAATGCTATCCCTCCCAACCCCCCTCACCCCCTGCTATCCTTCCCCTAGCCCCCCTACCCCCTGACAGGCCCCAGTGTGTGATGTTCCCCTCCCTGTGTCCATGTGTTCTCACTGTTCAACACTCACTTATCAGTGAGAATATGAGGTGTTTGGTTTTCTGTTCCTGTGTCAGTTTGCTGAGAATGATGGTTTCGAGCTTCAACCATGTCTCTGCAAAGGACATGAACTCATCCTTTTTAATGGCTGCATAGTATTCCATGGTGTTTATGTGCCACATTTTCTTTATCCAGTCTATCATTGATGGGCTTGGGTTGGTTCCAAGTGCTCGCTATGCAATGGGTAATTTACATGGCATAACATCACTCACGATTCTTCCCCTAGGTCACCTCATTATCCTTTGGTCTTTGTCACTATCCAGAGAGAAAAGACTCTTAAGAGGGCCAGCCTCTGCAGATTCCCTCAGGGATGGGGGTGCTGTTTTGTCTTGTTCACCAGCTGCTGCAGAGACAGGGGACTCCTCCCAGCAGAGTACTAGAGAACGGTCAGCTGGGGTGACGGGTGGTGTTATCATATGGGAGGAAGGTGTGGAAATAAAGCAGCCTCAGAGAGGTATGAATGGGGCTTTGTGTCTATGTCTGGTCTTACGCTGCGAATACAGACATACCTGAGACTGGGTAATTTATAAAGGAAAGAGGTTTAATTGAATCACAGTTCCACAGAGCTGGGGAGGCCTCACATCATGGCTGAACGTGAATGAGGAACAAAGCCACTTCATACATGGCAGCAGGAAAGAGACTGTGTGCAGGGGAACTCCCTATGATAACCATCAGATCTCGTGACACTTACTCACTTTCATGAGAAAACCACAGGAAAGACCCGCCCCCATGATTCTATTACCTCCCACTGGGTCCCTCCCATGACACGTAGGAATGATGGGAGCTACAATTTAAGGTGAGATTTGGTGGGAACATAGCCAAACCATATCACTTTGTAATAGAAATGTACATGAATTCTAAGAGAGCTGATGCTTATGTGCGTATTGTGTATTCTGTGTAAGTGTGCATCCTGGAGGGTTGATATCTCATGCTGAGAAGGGGTTGGGTGAGTCCCAGTGGCTAGTGGTCTCTTTCCAGCCTTCAGCCTGTGCAAACTGGGGTGGATGCACTGCTTCTCATAAAGAACTAGGGCATCTGCTTCTCTCAGTTCCTATGAACTGATATTTAATGAGGCTCTGAAGGGACTTTGGCTCTAATTCAGTAGCTCAGGCTCAACAATGACTCCCAGACCAGAGCCAGCACCTCATTAATCCTTGTGCTATCTCCTCCAGGTGCTGACAGATAAACTATCCTTGGACACAGAGCGAGTCTGGCTTTGCTCCACCACATATGAAGGCGAACAGGTAGGCTGTCAGCTCCCGATGCAGGCAAAGTTTGTGGGACAAGGACTGTGCCATCCTCACAATAACCTGGAAAGCTGCCCTTGTTAAATATTCCTCCCCTCGATCGTGAAATGATGCCTGCTTTGCCTGCGTGGTATTCTGACTAACCCTGCCAGCTGTCTCTGGATACTCATGTTTCCTCCACTTGGCATTATCTTAGGCAGCCAAGGTTCTGTGCTCTTTTTGTTCCAGAGCATGCTCCTGGCATGACTGGCTGTGAGTTTCCCTGTCGGCTGTTGCCACCACTGAGCAGCAGCTGGGAAGAGGAAGGAAGAGGTAGAGAGGCTGTCAAAGTGTTTGTGTTGATCGTGGGGCCCTGTAAGGCTTGTTCTGAAAAACAGTTCCTTGTCTCTCCTACCTTTCCTGCTTCCCTGAGGAACCACTTCCAACTCTTCTAGATGATTCTTTTTATACTCACTAATGCATCTCTAAATAGCTGACTTGCATCGCTACCTTTTTATTTCATTTTAAATTCTCTCTATTGGCTTCAGTAACAGAAGAGATGCATTTAACTGTTTCATGGCCTCCCGTCCCCCGCAATCACACCCGTAATTTCCTATTCCCGCCTCCGGCCAATACAGTCATGATAAAACTTGGGTGTGATAATTTTAGTATTTGTACCATCATGACAACATAAAAGCTATTCTTTGCTGAGCCTGGAAGTATGCTCGAATTACTTACACTTTCTTGAAGACCTTTTTGTCTTCCCTGGAATTAAAAGAATTATCTTGTATATTTTTGGGGTGCCAGTTGCTGAGCTTTCTCTCTTAGCTTCCAACACCCACCTTCCTCTTCCATGGGCTACTTTGTGACTTGGGTTCTGGAGACCACGTTCTTCCTTTGTCAGTTGCCAGCCTCTTAGTTTCTGCCAGGGACACACATTGAAACACAGACAGAAACTGACAGGGAGGCTGGCATAGGGAGAAGGGATGATCTGCCTTTTTCTGTTTTGCATCCTGGGGTTCCTCTTCACGAAAGCCTAATATCAGCCTTTCTCTTCCATCCCACTAGCAGATTGTTTCAACAGCAGCTGCAAGCCGGGCATGGTGGCATGTGCCTGTAGTCTCAGCTACTCTGGAGGTTGAGGTGGAAAGCTTGCTTGAGGCCAGGAGTTCAAGATCAGCCTAGGCAACATTGTGAGACCCTGTCTCTACCAAAAAGAAAGCAGGAGCAGCAAAATCCAGCTTGCATTTTTTCTAACAGTTGCAGAATTGGCCTCACTGTATCCCATTTCAGAGACACCAGCACCAGCCAGCCATCTGGTACCTCCTTCTCAAAGGTCTGGGTCCTGATCTACTAGTAACTTCCAATGAGTTCCAAGAAATAGAGCTTGCTTGTCAGTACCTCTTCCTCAGAGGTCTGGGTCCTCCAAACTTCTAAGTTTTCACTGGGCCAATATCTTCTCTGTTTCCGTAGCCTACAGGTAGCAGCTGCTTCCTGCAGTTGTTACCTCCATACTTAGCATTCCTTCTGCATTTTTGCTTCTCAATTTCTAGTTAGCAATTCTTCATATTAATTGCTTTCTGTTAAATAAGTAGTGAAGGCTGTTTCTGGACAACTTCAATCTAGAACTCTGTAGGTCTGCTGCATAGCTGCCTCTCGGTCTTGAACTCAGGTAATCCTCTTGTCTCGGCCTCCCATGGTGCTGGGATTACCAGCACTGTGGCTGGCCTACAGCTGCCTCCAGAAATGTGCATTCACCATGAACCTAGGGATGCCCATCACCTCCCTCTCTCTTGTGTTGGATTCCTGTTTCCTGGATCCCACATGTATTAGTCTGTGCTCATACTTTAATAAAGACATACCTGAGACTGGGAAATTTATAAGGGAAAGAGGTTTAACTGACTCACAGTTCCACATGCTGGGGAGGCCTTAAAGCACGTAAGAAGGCAAATGAGCCAAGTCACACCTTACATGGTGGCAGCCAAGAGTGAGCGTGTACTGGGGAACTCTCATTTATAAAACCATCAGCTCTTGGGAGACTTATTCACTACCACGAGAATAGTATGGAGGAAACCGCCCCATCATTCAATTGTCTCCACCTGGCCCTGCCCTTGACCTGTGGGGATTACAATTTGATGTGAGATTTGGGCAGGGACACAGCCAAACCATACATCCACGTCTTTCTCTCTTCCAGTTAACTCCCTCATTTTAGTGGAGAATATTCTCCATTGGCTTTCTGAGAAATGTGATCACAGATGTAAAGTTTTGAGATCATGCATGTCTAAAATACCTTGTATCAGTACTTATGATTATGATTACTACTGATAGTTTGCATATATAATTCTAGGTTGGAAAACTTTGCCTCAGAATTTTGAAGGGATTGTTCCATTGTCTTCCAGCTTTCAATGCTGCTGTTGGGAAGTCCTATGAGATTCAAATTCTTGATCTTTTGTATGAAGCATATTTTATTCCTCTCTAAACATTTTTAGGATTTATATGGTACCACTTCAGTCTTTGGTAAACCCTTTTTATCTGGAAATTAATATCCTTAATTCTGAAGACTTTTTTTTGAATTATATCTTTAAAAACTTACTTGTTCCACCACTCACCTTGCAACCCTCCCACTATTTTCCTCCCACTACTTACCTTCCAGTCCTCCCACTATTCTCCCCCACAACTCACCTTCCAAGTCTCCCACTATTTCCCCCTACTACTCTTTCCAACCCTTCCACTATACCCCCCACACTATTCACCTTTTAACCCTCCTATTTCCCTGCCTACCAACTACTTACCTTCCAGTGCTCCCACTTTATCCCCCCAACTACTCACCTTCCAACCCTCCCGCTATTCCCCCCAACTCACCTTCCAACCCTCCCACTATTCTCCCCCAACTCACCTTTCAACCCTCCCGCTGTTCCCAACTCACCTTCCAACCCTCCCACTGTTCTCCCCCAACTCACCTTCCAACCCTCCCACTATTCTCCCCCAACTCACCTTTCAACCCTCCAACTATTCCCCCACAAGTTACCTCCCAACCCTCCCACTATTCTCCCCCAACTCACCTTTCAACCTCCCTACTGTTCTCCCGCAACTCACCTTCCAGCCCTCCCACTATTCCCCCCACTACTCACCTTCCAACCCTCCCACTATTCCCCCAACTACTTACCTTCCAACCCTCCCACTATGCCTCCCCAACTCACCTTCCAACCCTGCCACT